ATTTTTAGTAAATATACCTTTTTACGCTGAACGTTGTCGTATGTCACTTCTCTGCGTTTAGAATTATTATAAAAAATGTGTCTTGCGAGTGGAAATAATTTTTCAATTTTTTTTAAACAAACAGAAACGTACTTTAATTAAAAAACTAGAGCTATGATTAATGAACAAATAGAGCTAAATACTATGACTCTTTTCTATACCTAATTTCGTAGCTAGGAGTTCTAAAATTACTCTTCTTAAACCGATTAAGCAATCTTGTACAAGAAAAAAGATTAACACACTTTTGGTGACGCGTGCTAAAGGAAACCTGACGCTTGAGGGGTGGGCTGAGCATAGCCGTAAATTCGAAGAAAATGTACCGATTCGGAAACGAACTGTCGTGATCCGCCGAATTGTAATATCCCCTCGATAACGCGACATAGGAAATCGTTCGGGCGTAGAAAACGTAGAAACCACCATTAACACGACAGAAACCGATCGATGCCCCGGTAGCTGATTCGAAAGTGCGTGACCGGCGAGCCTAAAAGCAGCCCCGAAGCAGGTTCTTGCACACGCGGAACGTGCAATGAGCCGCGATTCCGTATATCGAATCGGTGAGTGGTGATCGATCGTTGTTCGGGACGCCGTGCAACTCGGATAACCGTCAATTTGCAAAGGGGTGTAAGACGAACGTCGGAGGCCAAGACGAAGAAACGCCATGTGATCGAAATTCCACCCGCCTCTTTCCGGTCAGGGTCGAAAGGCGAGTACGTAATCGGCGCTGTCAGACGATCGAATTCGTACCGGCTGCTGTTCGTAGCAATTTTAGCGAATTTTCTCTGTCATGTTCTTGCTTCGATAGTGACTTTGCATTAAAAGTAGACGGGACCTCCTGCATACTAAATCGCCCCGCCACAGCGTTGTCCCTGATACGAGCTCAAGATCGAGCCACGACGACTTATACACCGGGGATTAAAGTACTTCTATGTATAACTGCGTGGTAAACTTTTTCTATCGATAAAGCTGAATCTGCAAAATATAATTGTAGTAAGTGTAATTGAATGACGGGCTACGTTTTGGAGGGAGAACCTTTCTTTAGATATTAGACGTTGATACGTAGACTATTTTCGCTTTAATCTTCTTATTCCGAGTTGGTTGTTTGTGTAAGATCTTTGACTACAGTAAGAATGTTGTAGTAACTTATCACGATGGATTTTAGCTAATTAGGTAAAATTGGACGATAAGTTCTTGGAGGCAGAAGCTATGTGCTTATTTCAGATATTGGAAATAGGGCCATTTTTGTTTTAATCTTTCTATTGCAGGTTATTTATCGTGTCATGTTTCTAATTAATGTAAACATTCTAAGTTTATAATTTTAGCAAATTGCAGTATGTAAAGTTGGATGTTGAGCTAAATTTTGGAGCAAGTAATTTCCTTCAGATATTGGAATTAGATTTGTAAACTATGTTTGTGTGAAAGCTTATCATGCCAAATTTGAGCACAAAGTTTTAATTTGAATCTTTCTATCAAATTTATATTGACTTTTTCAGCGTCTTACACGTCTCTGTCTATCACAAAGTTGTAGAAACACGTTCTATTAATAATTATTTCATGTTACACGAAACATTAAAATAGCCACAGGTTAAGAAACGTTGATCTAATGATCCTAATCTTCTGCTTCACGCGTAAGATCGATCGTCTTAAGTCCATGTTCGTTGTTAGCGAGTATTATTCGTAACGTACGTATTCGAAGATCAAAGAGGAAGTCCAGGAGGGCCTTGAAGTAAAACGAAAGACCGGAAAGTACATTCGAGTTTCCCGTAATTCCATAACTCAAACTTTTAACAGCCGATTGTTGATAGAACAACGACGAAAACAGCGTCGTTAGGAACGTTCAAAGGAGCCATTATCTCTCAACGACTTCCGCCGCTAATGTGACGATCGCGGGCGTACGATCTTTATCGGTGATCATCTCGATCCTCTCTATCAGCCTCGATTCCGCTCACGCCCCCACCTCGTGTCTACGTGACAAATACGCAAGATGAGACCTATCGATACTCGTCCGCCATTCGGATGAACGTGCACCGCGGTCTCGAATATGTATTTATGCTTCCCGTATCATTTCGTAATTATCGATAACATCGTCAAGGCTTTTTGCAGGAAACAATGGGTCATTACTAGTTCCCTCATACATTGCCTCGAACTCTGTCTTTCTTTTTGCTTGCGTTGCTGCTTCTGTCTTCCCCTGATCACCTACTTCTCCTCTTCATCCGCTTTCGTACATCCATCGGAGCACTGCATTATTTTTCGACGTCTCTTTTCGGTCGTTCGATATTTGTTTCAGATTTTACAATACGCGACGCTTCCATTCGCTATTCCGATTTCCTTTTCAAGAAATTGCGCAATTACGATATTGACATGCGTCAAAGATGGGCGAAACTTTTACCAAAATGAAGATTTCGAACAACGAATACCATATAAATCGTTTTCAGAGTGTCATTTGTCGAGTAAAAATTACCATCTAAATGGAACAAAGTATGTTCCATATTCTAGTTAGCTATTCAAGAAATAGATAATTACGATGTTAGCGCGAGTCAGAAATAGACTCTTGTCTATACAAAAATGCCGAACAATGAATAAAATATTAGCAACTTTCATTGTTACACGGAAGCTATATTTCATTGATACAACTTTGTAGGAATTTACCAGAATAAACATATACATATGAAATTTTCCGGAACGGTCCATCGTGTATATTTTTGAGTTTAGATCTAAACACGTCAGCTGCATCTTGCTTGTTGAATTATGTATATTGTATACACTAATATCTACTTTAGATATTCAAGGGTGTATTCACATTCATGCCAACACAACTCAACACATTCAGTATTAAATAAAATAAAATAAATGTAACAATAATATTTTCTTTTTTATTAAAACAAGCTTTTATTCTTATGTGGTTACGGATGTAGGAAACATTAACGATATCTATATTGAATATACAGGGTGTTCGGCCACCCCTGGAAAAAATTTTAATGGGAGATTCTAGAAGCCAAAATAAGATGAAAATCTAGAATATCAATTTCTTGACTAAGGCTCCGTGAAAAAGTTATTAAAACATTAAATTAAAAAATTACAAATCATTCTGAAAAAATTATTTTAGTTGCAGGGATTTATTACAATTATTTTCGGTGAATAGACATATCCCCGAAATCCTACGCACTTTCGAGAAAAAAATTCAGAAAGGTGGACTTTTTTGCGCGAAATTGAAAAATTTCAAATCGTTCTAAAAAAATTATTTTTAGTTGTAGGGCTCTATTACAATCATTTTTTGTGAATAGACATACCCTCGAAATCCTATCCACTTTCTAGAAAAAAATTCAGTACGGGCAGAACTTCAAACATTAATAACTTTTTAACGAATTCTCCATCAACAAGTTAGTATTCTTGATTTTCGTCTTATTTTGGCCTCTAGAATCTCCCATTCAAATTTTTCCCAGGGGTGGCCGAACACACTGTATATTAAATATATGTGTCGTTACTTAAAGTACCATATGATTACTATTTCTCAAAAGTGCTTCAAAGGAAGACCCATTCATCGGAATAATATTAAAAACAATGGTTCGGTAGAATTCCAAATAAAAAAATGCCTTTACAAGCGGCGCGCGTCTTTTAAAAAAGACCAACCGAAGTTAAATAACGGCCTGGGTCTTAACGGTGATTTTAATTAATTTAACACTCGGTAGCAGTCTTTATCGTTACATATTTATAAATCGTTAAATATGTAACGATAAAGCCCACTGAGTCTTCTATTAATTAAAATCACCGTTAATAGCCGAGCCGTTATTTTGGTTTAGGTTGCGTTTTGCTAGAATTATGTATAATATGGGTCGCGAATAGGCAGATTATGATACGTCTGCGTGCAATTTCAAATCGAATGGAGGCTTCTAGCGTCACTGTTTCGCGGAAGTATTGATCGGCTTCGATGCATCGGGCAAAAACTGACGTGGATTTGTTGCCGTTTTCCACGTGGCGTTTCGGTATTTTACTACCGAATTCGCAGTTACTTTAATTGTTTCCAGATGCTAATTAATGGCTTAGCCATATGCCATGCTGTACAGATCGTTCGAATAGGCGAACCACTGGGCCGGGGTAAGGGAGCAAGTGTTTGTCATTACGGCACCGCGATAATTTCATCGTCGCCGAACGTTTCCCATCGTTCATTCTCCTTCTTTTTATGTCTCGACGAGAAGTCGTTGATCGCTGGCATTAACAAAGCGAAAATATTAGCAGACACAGTTTCCAATATCAAACTTCGAATGTTGTCCTGACCAGCCATTTATTAAGACTACTTAACGTTCAAGGGCGAAACAAAACTAACATCCACTACCAATTTTATAAAAATTCTATAAATTCTACGATTGCACGACAGTTTCAGAGACTAGTGCATCGTTTTCAACAGGCAAACAAATTTAATTTATAATCGTACTCATCGTACAAATTCTTCGATATACGAAGAAAATATTCTGATATTTAAAAATAATAACATATTTTACATGTCTTTAAAATTTCTGCTACAATTTAAGAAGCTCCACAATAAGATAGTGTACCTTAGAGGAAAAAATATATCAATTAGAATTATATAACAAACGTTCTCGCTTAGATGAGTCGAAATATATAATAATAATTAATATCTGGAAAACTACGCACAAAATAGTTAAAACGTATTTAACATAATAGTGTTTTACAATAGAATCGTTTCTGAAATTATATCGGTTATGACTTATCACTTTTATCGGTTATGAAAATACAAGAAACTAATTTCTGTTTTTCTTAAAAGCAATAATTTACCATTGAATAGAAGCACGAATAAATAAATATCCCTGACGATAAATTTGATTGCTCGAAAGACAAAGTCGGTTCTCGTTGCGAATCAACATCGAATAAAAAGTCGCTTGAATAATTTTGCGTTTCTGGTTCGATCGTAACGATATTTGAATTTTGCGTTTCGCTTGTTTCAGAGGGCGTCATTAGCGGAGAAGGAAGTTTCCGCGTTAAAGGAGCAACTTGCCGCGGCAAATGACGGGAATTCGAAGACTGAGGGACATCAATTGTCTCAGACACCACAGGGAAGCGAACAGCAGCAGGTACACGATGCAAGCAACCCCAGGAGAACGCCGAACACCAACCTGGAACAGGAACTGCAAGCGAAGGACAAAGAGGTGAGTCTCGTATTTTAGAGACGCTGAAACGATCGCGGTTCCATCGCGTTCGAGCAATCGGAGAAGTGACCAAGTCACTGATTCCTCTCCAAGACACAGCGATACCATTGGAAAATATTTATATATTTGGAAACACGTATCAACATTTGTTAAGTCTGATTTAAAACAATGGACTATATAAACACATTGCTCACAACTGTTTTACAGTTTCTCGCTCCAGGATGGATAAAGTCGAGGAGCTTGTGGTTATCAAAATTTACATTTTTTATTCTATTGAACGTTGAAAGTTGAAACAAATACCCTGCTTGTAATTTATTTTTTATAAACAGGAAGTATAGATGTTGAGTAAAAAAAGAAGTTTATATATTTATTATAAACAGCAGGCACTTAATTGCTTCAGAATACGAGTACGGGTGTTTAATGAAAAAGAAAAGATACTAGAGAAAAATAAAAAATGGAACTCGTTATATCGGTATCAGAAATTGTTTATTCTTGAATTCATAGGGAAAGATATTAGAAACATGGTCGTTTTTCGAAGACGGGATTCTGAAAGTATCGAGGGTCGAAAAACACATCGAGTTTCCCACTCGCGATACTGAAATTCCGTTTAACTGTTGCACGCGGAGCTTTCAGCTGCGTGCGCGGCGAACTGAATGACTGACGTACTCGATAGAGCACGTGGTGGCCCTCCCTCGCCCCCTTTTCGTGCTTGTCACTCCCCTCCGTCCCCTCTCTGTTTTCTCTGGATCGTACGCACGAAGCACGCGCGCACCAGCCGGTGAAATTCACCCCCGAGTGCACTTCACCTTCCCGATACGCGATAAACGCCTCGAATCACGCTTTCGGGACGCAAAGTGTGACTAATGGCAGTCGACGAACCGACGGAATTGGTAATGAAAGAAGATCATAAATAGGAGACGCTATATCGATGAATATTCATCCTCTCGAGCCGACAGGAATCATTGGGATTTCAACAGAGACGATTTGATGCCGTTGAAACGCGCCTTGACGAGCTGAAACAGACTCGCCTCCATTTCACCGATTCATAGAGAGAATTCGCGATAAATCGCCGATTGGGAATGGAATTTTTTCGTGGACACGTTCGAAGGTTACCACTATTTAATTAAAATATTCAGAGCTTGTCCTTACAGGAAACTGTTACAACATTTAAGCTAGCTTCATCGAAGATCGAACGACACGTCGGTATAAATAATTATAAAACCATGGCTCGTTATTAAAAGTATTTCTCGAATGTGCGTTTCTTTTCGACGCTTTAAAAGAAAATTTAACGATGTGCAAGCTTTTGTTCTTATGCAAACATCGTTCGTGCCATTGATGAAATACAGCCAGAGTCATCGAAAATTGGGTATATTTTATTCGCTCCACTAAACACAATCGAGGTTTAAGTAATATTTTATGTACAGTGTCAACGAATATAAAATCTTGTAAGTAATCGTTGAAAGTTAAGGGATTGCTACGTCTAAGGTTGTGATTCCTTTTTGTAGTTTATTTAACTACATTTTAGCCATACGTTTACATTTTTTATACAGTTGTAAGTGGTTGATTTTACTGTTATTTAGCTTGCAATAAATATACATATAGAAATCACGTCTCCCCTGGCATAAACGATTGGGAGTTCTCAGGGTGGTCTAGAACTAAAACATTGGAAGGATTCTTGATTAGTTACCGTCTGTGCCAAAATAAATAATTTTTATTGAAAACTAGCAAAATGTGAAAATTCCAGAATTTCGTATCTTTTTTGGTAATATTTTAATAAAAGAACTATGATATACTCAACACAAAAATATAATTTTGATACTATCAATGGCTAGTAATGGCGTAGAATATCCTGTACAAATGTCAGAGCAATGTTGTTTTTGAGATTGTATCTACGTCAGGTGACAAAATTATGTTTCAAGAAAAACGCATTTAAAGTTTTATACTAAAATTAAAACATTGCTTGAACAAGACTCGAAGTTTTTTTATAAAAATTTAACCCTGCATTCTTAAATATATGTGCTTTCGAAAGACGAAAATAAAAATCGACTTTTTTAAGATGTCGCAGAGGAATGACCCTTTAAGCGGGCCGTAACGTTAAATACGAATAGAAATTTATTACTCTGACGCGCATACTTTCTCCTAGTACGCTTAATAAAAGGGCAGTAACAATAATAATACGATGTTGCTCGACGGGGATACCCGTCGAGCGATTTCTTCGCGCCAGAGGTAACCGTAAAACCTACCCCCTGTCTCCGCGTCGAAGATAATCGAACAACCACCCCCTTTCTTCGGCTACACTGTCGCATTATTTACTCCTCATTATCGTCTCCGGGCCAGTGGCCCAGCTCCGTCACCCCCCGTTACTGTCCTTAATCGGGGAATAATAAAAATCATTCCCGTCCCGCGATGGCTTTTCAATAAAGACATTGTCCGCGGAGCAAATTCTTATCCGTGAAAAGGCGTCGTCTGGGGTTGTTCCGATGGTGGATAGGGTGTAGGGGGTAGGTGGAAAGGACCCACTCGCAGGGGCGGGAGGAAGGAGGGGGGGATTATCGGCTTTGGGATTACAACAGGCTGAAGCAAACGATTTCCTTCAAAACAAGAATACCGGAGCAGCCGTTGCAAAGTGGCGGCTGGGGGTGGAGATGGATAGGGGTGCGGGCGTTATTGGCCCTAAGCAGGATACTTATTGAACTCTTAGCGGTGTTTTTATCACTCCTTTCTCGCGAGCACGCGCGCGCGCGCGCCGCTTTAAGTGTTTTCGCCTTTGTTTGAAAGACTCGCTCCAGCGCCGCTCGCATTATGCACCCTCGTTATGGGGTGCGAGAGATTCTTACAAGACTCCGCTTCGTAAACCGTAAGTGAAGGGGTTCGACCACTTTGTGTCCCTTTTCGAAGGCAAAACGACCACCGACCAGGGGTAGTTTTCAAGGCCTCTTTTCACGCAGGCGAATGTTAGTGTTTCGATCATCAGGGGGTAGGTATCAGAATTATTATTATATAAAAAGAACAAATCGAAAAAGTACGATAAAATCTTTTATTAACGTGTTTAGAAATGTCCTTTTTAAAATATGTATAAAGGATGCCTAATCACGACACAACCGTGGAGGGAATGAACCTACGTGAAAAAATAAGTCGAAAATACAGGATAAACTTTTTTATTAACACCTTTATGTTTGCTTTCCATGCTTAGGAATGTTCTCAACGTTTGCTCAAATTTTATTATGAAAAACAAAAATATTCGATGGTGTCCTTGTCAGAATTATTGAAAAATTTATAAGCAATACGTTCGTTTCAAGATTTTGAAAGGAAAGTTGGTCGAAGCGTCGGTCACCAGTGACCACCATGACAGTCAACGTGTTGATCGAGTACAAGTAGAAACATTAGGCAAATCGTATTCAATTGCATGTCTAAAATGATTCTATTCTACAATTTCTATGTATTATTATCATTGATAATTATTATGATTACCGGGACATCCTATATCAGAACATACATCTGCTTTAAAGTCAGTTTTCGTCTGGTTTTGCTAGTATATTCAAATTCATGGCCATTTTGCAGAATAAAATACGATTTGCCTGATCCGTTTGTCCATTGCTTACTTTTTCTATTTATTCTGGTGCCCAGGTCTCTATTGGTTGCGTGTTCAATCAATTTTTGAAATCGATTTCCTCGAAAACAAAGCCTTTACAATTACTATGACAATACATCATGAAAATTTATGGCTAAAATTATTTGTTATTCATTGAAACTATCCCGATAAACCTAGCTCAATATCGTACAATATCATATGAAATGTTTGTTGACAAGTTTATTTAAAAGTTGGTGACCAAACACTTGCACCATATTATTTGTTTTTATTTCAATTTAACGTTGACTGTCATGGTGGTCACTAGTGACCGACGTTTTAAATTTGCAATGTTTCTTTAAATAGGCCGAACGAATTTTAATAACGTTACTGAAATTGAATGCTGTAGAATAACAAATGAATCATTGAACTATTCGGTATTTATAATTTTCACCGCGTAAGTGAATAAATATCAGAACATTATTAGATAGGTAAAAGTGATATTTAATCTGGTGCCTGATTTTCTTCTAATTTTTCTTTCGTTCTGTTAGTTTCTTATTATCTTAATGCCTCCGATAGCTCCCTAATTAATCCACAGTGAAATCAACTCCATTCTTTCAAGTTTTCCGCGGACATCCGTGTCCGATCATTGTTCTGCGACCCCTCTTATCTCGAGAGCGTCTTGTTGAAACCAAATTCATGGAAAACAGCTAAATGCTTTCTACCGTGGTGGCTGACGTATTTGAGTTATAAATAACGCGATGTCATCATTTTATATCGGGGACATTCGAGTCACTGGACATTTTCCGATTGTTTGAAGAGACGACCGCGAAAACGGATTGCTTTGATCTGCCTTCGGAGAAGCTTTCAACTATTGAAATAAAAACAGACGGTAAGACTTTTGTTCAACATTCTGCTACTGAATTCTCGATCTTTGTTCTTTTATCCCAAACACACGTTCCACTGGATTTCGGATTTTATTTTCGATGTCTCTAATGGAAATATTTCAGTTCCAAAGAGTTAAGTACCATTTACTTTAGTCAGAACTTGAATGATATATCCTCTGTTTATTCAAGGGAATGAAAATTAGAATTTTAGAAGAGCAAAAACCTTATTCTCCTCCTTCTTTTCGTTTAAAAATGCTCAAGTAATGTATAACATTTGTGGTTGTATTTAAATATTAATTTTACGCTGTTCCACTTTCCGAAATAATTTTCATTCTTTGGTCTATAAGCAAGATTAAGGTAATTCTTCGTTACTATAGTATTTTGCACTGTTAAAAGAAACTTCAAAAAGATGTTTGTTTCTGTCATCGCGTATTAGATAAAGTTCAAGTTTGATTATCTCGCTGAAATCGAATAATATATGTATATTCCTAAAAGTGAACGCTTGTCGTAAAATATATTTTACAAACGATACTGAACTCTATAAT